TTACCAGAACACTTCATATTGCAGCTGGAATCTGGTAAACGTTTCGTCTGTAACGGTTCTTCCATTCCACAAAAACATTCTACCCTAAAATCAGATGATGTTTCAAAAGGGCTGCATAGCCCTTCTGTATATATGTTCATATACACAGAATGACAAAAAGGTTTAGCTAAAGTTTTTTGTTTAACAACTGATATTAGTAACATATATATACATATATATATATATATATCAAAAAACTAACCTTGGAGTGTTAATTATAACTTATTATTATAAATATCAAAAATAATTAACACTGAAATGGATACCTTTAACTTTTTGAAACAATCTTTAAAGCACTTCAGGATCATACATTATTCTACAAATAAATTTTCCCAAACAGTTAAAAAAAAGTCTTTCTAATATTCCTTTTAAAAATCTTTTTAGTATTTTTTTTTCTTTTAATAAGATGTAACTAGTACTCCAGAATTAATTTTTTTAATTATATGTTATATCCAAATAGCAAGCTAATATTTGTCTCATTTTAATAAACATCCAAATGATGTCTTAATGTCAATAATATCAGATTGTTACATAAGTAATAATTAGATAAACACAAAATGTGATAAAATGTTTTATGGTCAAACTTTTTTGTCATTCTGTATATCAATTGTAGATTGACTAAGATACTAACGAGTATTCTGTACCAGCGTATGGAAATCCTGATTGAAGACACATATAAGCGCAACGCTCGGGCGTATTGATCCCTTTGAAGATATGATAATAACCGGAAAGTGCTCTCAACGTTTTGTCATCTTTGAAGCAGCCCAAGTTGATCGGCATGCCTGTAAAACCTGGAGAATGGGGACACAAAGATTGTACTTTTTCCGGGTACAACAAACCCTGCTGGCTAAGGCACGTCACATTGACAATGCGTTGCTTGCATGCTTGATTCTGAGCACGCGTTACAGCGCTCACTGCTTCCCGGACTGTAACTTCACACACAGGTGTAAAGTTTAATGACTTGCGATCTAGTTTTATTTTGGCGGTGCGATTTCTTAGCTGGGATTGTAATTGAATTTGTTTGTTTGTGTTTGTCTGCTTGTCAGGTGGAAGTTTCAGTTGACGTAAACCTTTTGGCAGACCTTCATCCTCCTCTGGTTGAGAAGAACCACCCTGTAATTTGCCAGAGAGTATCAAGTATAAATAAATTTGTAAATATTCTATGTATTATAATATTCAATGTTATATAGAAGAAGAAAGCATTTAACATTCTTCTGTATTAGGTATTTTATCATTATTTTTATCAGTCTATTTTTTTAAATTAACATACTTTTTTTATTTAAATTGAAATTGCTATATCTAATTGATACTTGGTAAAAGCAAAAAGAAAATTTTTTTCTAGAGCAGTCTAGAATTGTTGCAATAAGAAACAAATTTATTGTCTTCCAAGAGATGAAGCTTACCTCTCCAGACGATAGCCGGCTGGACTTGCCCTTGTCATTGTCCAGACCAAAGAATGTGTGTAAGTAGATCTGGACGCATAGCACAGTTATGCCAAAGGCAAAGATCAGCCGGTACTTGCGTAGGCAGCTCGATGATCGACCGCCCGGGTGGCTCCTGATGATCGCCATTATTTTTCGAGGCTCGCTCGCGATTACCGTCGATTACGGCATGCTACCGAGGAAGCCGGGTCCATCGGAGACTGAATGATTGTCTCGTTATGACAACGACCTCATCGGTAAGAATTATCCACTTCCGCTGTCTCCCTCAGCGGAAAATCAAACGTGCGTCTCCACGCTCCGCGTCGCGCCCCATCGCACGTAACTACATATAATTTGCACGAATACACCGAACGCGAGCACTACGACGCGACCATCGCATCAGACAGTGTCAGACAGCATCCCTTGAATGATTAAGCGCGATGGCGGAGGTTAGATCGCGCGGAGGTTAGGTTAGGATTAGGCTCATGCGTCACAGCGCGCGTGCCCTGGAGCTGTGTCGATTCGATGGCGATCAGGCGGTCCCGCATAGGTTATGGTCTGCGTCTTAAATAATGCAGTAAACAACTTCAGTCACGCTTTTTATCGGTCTATGCGGTCATCCACGAGGAACGCCCATGGCAGCCGAGCGCCGTGAGACAATCCCGCATCTATTCCAAGCTGAACCGGTGAATGCGATGACGTAGGCTTGCGCATTCGACGAGAGGGAATACGATTTTTAAGATTTTAAATGCGACGCCAGAAAATGGCAAATGCAATGTTCACGCACAAGACCAAGGTGGAGGATACCATCGAGTGTTTCCTCTATCCTAAGTTCTGCTACGCGTCCGATCCGGACGCGGTGACAGAGGCGAGGCTGAGCGAGGAGATCGTCAAGTACAACGAGGAAATCACCTCGTTCGTCTGCGATCATATCTGGCATAGTGACAGCTTAAATTTCCGTCCTAGAACCAAGCAGGCGATGCTGCTGAATCGAACCCTCGAGGGATCAGCAGTGGAAGAAGGTGAATATTTTAATTTTCACTTGTTGCAGTTTTATTCCTTAAGATAATCAACTAGCCAATAAGAATAATTAATCTTTTTTTTTGCCAGATTATCATACCTTGCCTCACATTTATGCAAATCAGCGTTTTGATGAGGATATAGGGGACGAATGGTTGACGGTGTTCCTAATATTTAAGCTCACCAAAGTCTTCGACGGATTGATCGCTAGAGTGGTAGATTCGGACGGAGAGTTTCTTCTAATAGAAGGTGCCCATGTCCTGCCACTCTGGGCCAGCCCTGAAACGTGCCAGGATCGTGTGTTCATTCATAACGGTGATATTCATGTTATTAGAGAAAGGGGAACATCATTTCCCAATTTATTAAATAACATAAACGGCAAGCCACATATCTCTAAGATGTCCGAGAAGGTGCAGCTTGTATTACAAAAGCGAATTGGCATTTATCCTGATGAGATTCAGAAGAGAAAGCACAAGGCCCGGGCCTTCCTTCCGGAAAAGGCTGCCTCTATACTTCGTCTAGAACCAAGACTCATAGCTCCAGCGATTAGAACTATCTGCCATTCGGATCCACTCGAACGCAAAGTACAATAGAATTAATTTAACTAACAACTTTTTATGTTCACATGTCCTTAAGTGTTTTAAAAAATTTGTAAAGTAATTCCTCATATTTAATTCAGGATATGACAATATATGTCTGAATTAAAGGATTCATCTCTCAAAATCTTTTAGAATACTTAAGGATCTCCTGTATAATCGATTTTGTATAATACATCGTATTAATTATTATAATGTATTGTAGGTTTGTCGTGCCATGAGATATTTCCCTCCCGAACAACGAACCATGGTCAATGTTAAAATGACCAAGTGTTTGTATGCGATGGCGACGCATTGTCGTTATACTGGTGATCCAAGAACAGGTTGGAACATACCACCTGCAACTTGCTCAAAATACAATGCTCATGTTCTCGGAGTTAAAATAGCATGTGGCTTAGAGATGTTAGTGGCTCGAGCCAATGAGGAGCGTAGAAAACGTACCAAAGAACAATCGGACGTTCCCGATGATGTTGAAAAATTAAAGCTGAACGAATCAGCTTTCAACGCTTATCTAGCTCGTTTAGAAATGAACGGTTACTTTAGAGATCTGTTGGAAGGTAGTCAAGAACGTGATAAGCTACTATCTACTGCGAAAGAGTATTTCTTGAAGCATGCTACTTTATTTGATAATCTAACGAATTTGTACGAAAGCGATGCTCAAAAAGTATTAGAAGCATGGGAGAACATACAGACGAATGACATTGAAATGCATGGTAATTTATTTACATATTTAAATGACTTCTAAAAAGTAGCATACAAATGAATTAGTAGTATATAAATATTTATACTATTTTAAAAAGTAGTATGCAAATAATTTTCAGACTGTTAAATATTACACATTTAATTATAATGAAGTGTATTTTTTGTACATAGCTCAAGATGAGAATACGCTAAGTCCTGCAGATACCAATAGTTGGCTAAATGTGGACCCAGCGCAATTAGAAACATATTTAAACCAACACTGGGGCAACGTTAAGGATAAAAAATTAGAAAAACAGGAATCTTTAAGTCTCCGAGAAAAAGTACAATCGTTTCTCAACCAAACCAGTGACATTGATGGCGTGCATTTCTTAGGGTATGATTTCTATTTATCGGAGAAATCGACAATTTTAAAAACTATCATCATAATTTATTCGCAAAATATGAAAAGATAGATAGTTGCTAATTTCATTTATAGAGAACAATCAATGGAGAATGACATGCAAGACACAGAGGATGGCGCGCGAATAGATTTCGATGCAGATGTTTTCGATAGTACGTTAAGAGGCATCCTTGATTTAGTTGTTCCGGGAGGAGAGGACGAATTCGAAGGTAGTTCAGAGGGATCGCTGGGTGGTGATGATGAGGATAAGGGTGGCGATATGGACAAGTATATGCGGCTATTAGACTCGCAATTACAATCACAGATAGTAAAAGACGAAAGTTTGGTAGCGGATGATGACGATAATAATAGCACGGATACTGTAGAGGCAAGTTTGCGAGAAAGTATCGAAGCCGAGGCCGGCGGCTCCGGCCCGGCCGGGAACATAATCGGAGGTCCTGTCCGAAGGCTTATGCACTTGCAGTTGCAATCGCCTACGGCGGTACCGCCTGACTTACAAAGTTAATGGCACTAAATATATAATAGATGATTAACATAGTCGATTCACGTTAACATTCGTAAACATTATTACAACCTTCGCTTCATTCTGCAAGATACATTAAGCATTTGCCATTTCAAACAAGGAGAAAAGACAATGGACTAAAATCTCGTTACTGTCTAAATTATTACACATTTATTACTTAAAATATATACTTAATGTTATCGATCAAAGCACCTTTATCACGCAGTTAGTATCATTGATACATATTTCACAACTTGTACTTTTCATCATTCGCTATATCACTGTTTTTCATACAAATTATATAATTATATATACATATAACATATAAGATGTTATTATTATCGCGGCCATAGAGCTAGATATTAAGAATCCTACTATTTGTATATGTAGCATTTTGTTTCCACTTTTGTAACTATTTTACTAAGCATCAAAGTCTTATGTGTAAAGAGCTTTGTACATTTCAATTAGAATAATGAGAGACACGGATGTTTGTTGTGTACAGAATTTGTATATTTCATTAAGACTTGTTAAAAGAACTGTTACGTTATGATGACATGTATACGCGTTTGTGTGCTAGTATACATTGATCTTCATAGAGTTCCGTATAGTCTATCATTTATATTAAAATTTAAGAAATCCACCTTCTTTCGGTGCTGTTAGGTAATTGATTATTTAAATGTCTGTTTGAACCATTTTGGTGTCTTGTTTTGATTCTGAGTTGATAGTGATGATGATTTGCCGCTACCGCTCGGTCCCGGAGTGACATGATTGCTCTCGACAACTGTGCCTCTATCACTTTCAGTCGTTGGATCTTGTTCTTTCCGCATCGTGGTTATTCTATAGATAAGTATGCAAAATTTAACGACAATCTGTATTAAATGATGCCATCAATACCTTACCTAGATTTCACAGCTTCAATACCAGCGGCTCTAGGATCTGTCAGTTGTGCTTTTACATTCGAGTTTAGCGATGATAGTCCAGAATAATAAACGATAGCAGAGGGAACAAGATTTTCGTCTATTAGTCGTGCATCGGGGTTTAAAATATGCCTTGGTGGGCTAGTATCTAAAAAGAAAAAAATATATAATAAAATTTTATCCATAATAAAATTATTACATGTTTGCCTTTTGCATAAAATGAATGTGATAATTGCATGTCATTACTCACAGATAGTGAATTCGCAATCCGGATTCTCCAAATAGCTTTTGATGAAGTCCTTGATAGCTTTGATAGTCTCTAGCGGTTCAAACAAACCCTGAAGAACGAATTGGTCGGGAAATTGTATGCGAATTACGGCGCGACGATATTTAACCAATCGATCCAGAATGTGCTTATTTTGATCCAGCTGACGCTGCACCTCCGTCTGAAGCGGAGCGTCCTCGAGTTGCTCTCTGCGACGCTTAGCATCTCGTAAAAGCGTCTTTGCGTCGTGTAGATCGAGGTCGAAGAAGCTATCCGGCAATTCCTCCCTCGGCAATGCCTGAGTTCCAGCTTGATTGAACACTAGAGCATTTCTCTTTCCTAACTGTAATACAAAAATCCTCGATAAGTAAATCTATCACTCAAACACAATTGCACGTATGCACAATTGCACCTTACAAACTTAATTTCATATGCGTTTTCCTGGACTTCTGCGCATGTTTCTGCAATATACCGATTTGTCCCAGATTTGTCGTGATCTTCATGACTGGCTGCAATGGGATGACTTTCTCCTATCTTAAATGTATCTTTCTCTTGTTTTTTGTTACTAAGCGCATCTACTGTTTCATTTTTTGTATCTATTTTCACTTTATTTCTCGATTCTTCCTGATTTTCTATTTTTGATGTGCTTTCTGTTGGTAAATTAATTGTTTCATTTATTGTCTTACTACATTGTGAACATGATGGCACTCTTCGGTCACTCGATGAATCATTCGCGACTGACTTTGGAAGCAAAGGCGTAGATACATGTGCCTGTGTTTTTAATTGTTCATGATCACGATATATCAATCTTAATATTGCTTTTCCGCTATTGAGTCCCAGCGATTTTAATGTTGTTTTCTCTAACGCTTCTTTGCCACACACCTGGAAAGATTTGAGCTGTTTACTTTCAGCCTCTCTCATTCGCTCACTTGCATTAAACATAATTATGCAACATCAATTTCTATGGTATGCCGTATCGCTTCAAAAGTGACAATTAAAAAAATGTGATTTTGAGTTATTAATCATGAATGAATTAAAATTAAACGTTATCTTATCAATCATTAAAAGTGAACTTCATAAAAAATTGTCAAAATCGTCACAATTCAAATTCTTGAAGAATAGTGAAACGAAAATGATAAAAATGATTGAATTTTATCATGTTAAGAATACATTCTTTTCGATATTCTTTGATTATTACAATATTAATAATTTTATATTAAGTTGAAAAATATGTAATTTTCTCCTTTCGTAGGAAAATTAATGATAAATTTGGTCACTCATACTACAGGATTAGTGCGAAAGTCATATATTTAAAATTTCATAATTTATATGTTAAATTGATGAAATTTTAAATATATGACTTTCGCTACTGATATCTTGCGTGTGCTTTTTTACTCTTTTATTTATATATTGTTTAATTATTAAAAATAGTTATACACTTTTACATTTAACTTGGCTAATTTCATGCAGCTATTATATAAATGATAATCTAGGATACGGAGGAGGGGAGGGTCAATTCTATATTTTCAAACAAGATGAAAATTACAAAAGTGACCAAATTTACTAGGTGTTGACCAATGAAATTATCAGTATTCTAGTAAATTCGCTCACTTTTTTAATTTTCACCTTGTTTCAAGATACAGAATCGAATCTGCCCAGCAAGAGACACATAACACAATATAAGGGTCTGACAAGAACTGTCATAACTCTTACTTAGATTTGTAGACATAAACAACGCACAAGTTTTGGCATGTGATGTGTGACTTATTGCTGTCTCTTGAAGACACTTAAATCTAAGTAAATGTTAAAAAACTTTTGTGTTCAGACTCTACACAATGTGATCTCTAACACAATGAATCATTTTATCTTTGTTTAACATTGACAAACAATAACTATATAATAATTTACTATGTTAAATTGTATCTATTGCTGGAAAGAGCATTCCCAGTGTAATGCAAGTGACTAAATTCGCTATTAATTTTTTGCTGTGTCATTTTTTAAGTAAAAGTAAATTATATATGATATTATATTTCTAAATAAGTGCGAAAAATTTTAGAGACGATCGAAAATTATCGAAAATTATCGAAAATTAAGGGATTTTTATTTTTATATAAACATGCACTTTTGTTCCTCTCGAGAAAACTCTTTGAAAGAAGGAAATAAAAATTAAGCTTAATTTTTCTTTTCAAATTTTGGACAAGTTAGAAAAATGAAATTTAGTGGACATTTTCTATTAGTAAAAAGAACTTATTAATATTAAAAAAAATAAAAAAATAAAAACTTATATAAAAAAACAAGAAAGAAAAAAGCTAGAAGCCAAAAAATTTTTTTTTAATTACATCATTAATGTAGAAGTTGGAACATAAGTAAAGAAACAATTATATCCTTTAGTTAAGATTTAATAACAAAGTGCTAGCAATAAACAAACTTGCTAGTACTTTGTTATTAAATATTAACTAAAGGATGTAATTGTTTCTTTACTTATGTTCCAACTTCTACATTAACAATGTAATTTTATAAAAATTTTTTGGCTTTTGTAGCCCTTTTTCTTACTTGTTTTAAATTTTATGAGTCTTATTACTAATAGACATTATAAAAACTTAACTTTTACTTCCACCTTTGAAGGAATTTAATTCTTCATAGAAAGATAGGAGTTTATATGAAAAACCTCTCTTAAATCTTCAACAAATCATCTCTTAAAAATTTTTTTACTTAGAAATATCCTGTATTTACTTCACGATGCATGTAGATCAACACAGCTCTCTCAAGGTCAGAATCGGGATACATTTCCATCAACGCTTGAGCCAATGTTATATCCGGCGAAAACTCGCGCAATATTCTCTGTCCATCCTCCGGTTGAATGCCAATTGTAACATTCGACATGATACGAGTTTTTGTACAGGCCACCATCTCCAACTGAGCGTTATTCGGCAAACCGGTGAAGCGGAATATCATATTAGGATCTAGTATCTGACGATTGTGTCTGTAACAGCAATGAGAGATGTAATGTATGGTTTACAGAAATTATATCATTGTGGAAACCAAAGTCTCAAGTGTCATGCTCACTTAATATCATAATCGTCGACGTTGAAGCCCTGCTTCTGACATACCTCTTCCAGAACCTGCAAGAAAACCTTTATTTGAAAATCATATCGAGAATATCGTTTTTGTTTGGATGAAATCTATTCAAATGCAAGTACCATGCTAAATCCTCGGACTCACCTGCAGGATCGTCGTATTAATCGTAACTTTTACATTCTGCCGGCGACCGTTTGGCGCGAGAACGATAACCGTCTTGTTTGCCGCCATGGTGACCAGCGAAACTTCAAAGAGGTGCGCTGAATGGCTCAACTATTGCGAAGTCAATCTGTCAACAGCTGATTCGAAGCAACTCACTCATGCAGACATTCCACGTGTCTCTTGATGTCATCCCCTCCTAAAGTCGCATAAAGTCTCGTGTCCACCGATTGATCTTTTGTCAATAAAAAAAAAGAAATAAAAATATTCGATCGTATTTTTATTGAAAAGAATATACTACGATTTTTTAGCGTGAAAACAGTTACACTTGTATACGCTGTTAATTTTCTGGATCGTTTCATGAGTTCGAAACAGCTGTCACGACTGTCACGTCGTGACAGTTTGTGTACTACATGCCGTTGATAGGCTATTATTGACGCTTGCGCGCGCGATTTAGATAACAGTCGTACGTTGGCAAGGATCCAGGGTGATCCAAGGGAGTCGTCGAGTTTTGTGTGGCCGACCTGCACGTGCACTACAGGCCTTTTACGCAGGGGGGAGGGGGGGAGGGCGGAGGAAGGCGCGAGAAACAACGAACGTGTGTCAAGCCCGTCCGCCGTGCGGGAAGCGGGAATCGCGTGAACCGACAATAAAAGCAACGGAGAGGAGAAGCAGGGACACCCGCGGCGTGTCGCCGTGTGTTTACGTTTACGACGAGCGACTGCCGTCGCTGTCGCCGTCATCTGACGTCTTGCCACCGTTCGACCACGCAACGACGACACAAATGACGACCTGCGAGGTGAGACCTGGCAAACCGCGGCACGATGGTCGTATCTTTTAACCGGTATCTGCCGGTGATCCTGCCGGAGATCGACAGTGAACCCGATAGCGCCATCGTCGCGAGCGACGTCGGGTCGTCCGACGTCAAGCAGCGCGCTTCGTACACTACGGATGAGCCTGTTGCGAGGAACTGTTCAACCAGCACCAGCACTATCGGCATCGGCGGCGGTGGTGGCCCGACGACGACGGCCTCCGTGACAACACCGGCAGTCACGGTGACGACGTCGGCGGTCACAGTACCGCTGTGTATCCTGGGCGAGGTACAGTTGCGCTTCCTCTGTCCCGACGACCTGGAGGAAGTACGATCGCTCTGCCAAGATTGGTTCCCCATAGGTGAGCATCTATAGAAGCATCCTAGAAGCAGCACAAACTCTCTTGCCTACAAAAGAACGAGAGAGGAGCAAGATTGAAAGATATTTTTGTAATATAATTTTAATTCTTTAACACTTTCTCTCTTTTGCTTTTTTGAAATCTACTTTTGATTAATAAAAATGTATATAATTTGAAAAAGATGAGAGAAAAGAAATGGGTTGACATCTCAGAAGAAAGAGAGCTTGACACACAGAAATAACAAAAGTATTGCTTATATATACAGTCTCAAATTTCAAAACAAAAATTTGTAAGAGAATCTTCAGATACTAATGTACCTGTTTCTATCAATATAGATTAACTTAAATCTTGACATAGTGTAATATAGTCAATCATTATATTCTTGTTTATTTAATCAATATATGGTTATATTAACCAATGTTAAACAAAGATGAAATGACCATTGTTACACTATGTCTCTTACTGAAAAGTATCAAATATTTCATAAATTGTACAATTAATTTATTTAATCTAAATTTATTTGTAATATTTTTATCTATATGTTAATTGTAATTTATTTCTACTAGAAATATTTTCTTTATTAAGTAATATGTTTTCTGTTTGTATTATATTCTAAAAAATTGCTATAAATAAACAATATAATAAAAAGTGTTTCAACTTAGATAATAAAATAGAACTAACGATTAATTTCTACCTGCACAGATTATCCTTATTCATGGTATGAAGACATCACAAGCTCGTCAAGATTTTATGCACTTGCAGCAGTGTACGGTGGAGTAATAATAGGGCTGATTGTCGCAGAGATAAAGCCTTATGCCAGATTGAATAAGGAGGATCGCGGCATCTTGTGCTCCAGCTTGGGAAAAAATTGTTTAGTGGGTTATATACTTAGTTTAGGAGTACGTCGCGCGTATAGGAGAAATGGCATAGCATCGTTGCTATTGGAACAGTTACTCGCTCATGTCACCGCTCCAGAACGTTCCTCCGTAAAGGCAGTCTTCCTACATGTGCTCTCCAGCAACGCTCCCGCTATATTGTTTTATCAGAGGTGTCACTTTCGGCTGCATAGTTTCCTTCCGTATTATTACTCGATCCGGGGAAAATGTAAGGATGGTTTTACATATGTTCTTTACGTTAACGGCGGACACGCACCCTGGGGTATTTGGGACTGGGTTCGTCACCTGGCCGGTGCGATGACCAGTCTCATACCGTGCAGAGTACCACGATGGATTTGGCAACGTCTTTTATGGGCAACCACCATTCTTTCGTACCACAGATGATACATTTTGTGATTTATTATGTTCCATTACATATTTATTTTTCTCTTTTGGATTATAGAGATGTTATACGCATGTAAAGTGCCATAAGTTGACTGGTTCAAGTAGTTAGCCATATTGCGTACTCCTGTGCTAATGCAAAGTTAGAAATGGACATTGATCAAAGATCGATTTATATAACATGAACAAATATTTAAATTCGTCTAAAGTTTGGGCAGCAAGGCTTCAGAGTATCTTAGCACAGCTTTTGTTATCAAGGATTGCTAGTTATTAAGTACATATCGTTATTACAATACTGTTGTAATAGTTCGAGATGTAACTGCCAAAAATAATTAAGTTTAAATAATTTGCACACGTTAGGACTTAATATATCTTCCATCATTTTTAAAAATTATACTATATTAATTATATATTATAATTACTCTAAATTTTGTTAATTTTAATGAAGGCACAAACCTTGACATAATTAAGTATATTTGTCTATCGTTTGAAAATTGTGTACCCTAATTTTTTTTTTTTTTTTTTTTCTACGAGGGTAGGGGGAAATCTTCAAAAGACCCCCTAGAGCCCGTACTCTAGGGGAGTGCCGGACTCGAGACATTTGCATCGCGATACTGCATATGTCTCGCCTAACGGCTAAAACCCCCTCCCTTTTTTTCCTTAAAAGATCCACTAGATGAGCATCTACCGAGTATCATTCTTATATTACTTTCGGGAGATGCTCATCTATAATTTTATCTATTTAAAACATATATCGCAAATTGTTACAATTTTTTATTTTCAAATTTGTAGAGAAATTTGGAGATCGAAAATCATAAAGCAAATTATGATCTTTTAAGCAAAAATTATTTAAAAGACTGCATAATTACGATTCATACTTTGTATACCTCTGCTGCCACATCGACTGTATAATATATGTATAAATTGTGTACATATTTTGTATATTAAATAAATACTTAATATATTAACATGGAACAATGAAAGTAAAATGAATTAATAATCCATCCTGATTACTAGAATATTTTGAAATTTAGTAGAATCTACTTGGAAAGCAACTTAACTAACTTATATTAGAAGTACCAAACAATTATTCTTGATTATACTTTTTATTTTTCTGTTTATATTTTTTAGATTCATGCCGTATTTTTCTTTTTTGTAAAACATAAAATTCTTTTTTTAGAAATTTTCTTTTTTGAGAAATTTTTTTGACTTCAATATCTTTTATATTGATGACATTTGTTTTTATAACTTTTTTTCATATTTATTCATTTGGTCTTTTTTTTTAGTAAGAAATATTAGTACTTAGATAATTTTTTTTTATATATATGGTTATATGTTTTTATATATTTACATAATATAGAAATATCTTGCATACATATTTACATATATTTGACATTTTTGTATTCACTTGTCATACTTATCTTTAAAAGTGATCCTACATGGTCAATAATATTGGGTTGTCCGGAAAGTTCGTGCCGACTAAAATTTAAATTTTAGTACATTTATTAAATTAAATTTTCTGCGTTTAAATTTTCCTTCAATATCGAACTTTCCAGACAACCCAATACTAATATTAAATCAATAGTAATGGCAGATGTATCAACATTTTTAGTTTTTTACAACCTTATACGATCAGTATTATTAACAATATATTTCATTTCAGTTTTATGTACATTATCTATTGCTCTGTGACATGAATCCTAAGCGTACTGATGAAAATCAGTATTCTTTGTTAATCCATCAATATTATAACCACACATAATCAGTAACATTATTGTCAATATTGACAGTATTATTGACATGTAGGATCATCTTAATTCTAATTGGTATTCGCTCTGAAATTTTTTTTAATTGTCCTTCCTGAATTCAGTATACCCGACAAAACTTTAAATTATTGTATCTTTGCTCAATTGTTTTTAAAAGGAAAAAGATTATGTAACTTTTATGTAAAGTTGTGAAAAATATTTGTTATAAACAATGTTTCACGTTCGGTATGTAAATGAAAAAACTGTCTGGGTCCACTAGAACGCGAATTAGGAATAATTTTTGTATTGAAAGTGATTATTCCAACACGTATAAAAAAATAAGATTTTTATTGAAAATAGTACGCGAAGTAAAAACAAATATAATTAAAAATATAACGTATGTTTCTTTGAATACAAATACATACGTTTGCATACATAGAATGAAACTGATCAGTTTTACTCATTACATTATTCATGATCATATTATTGCATTGTTTAAAATTTACATCGATTAAATCTAAGTGAGTTTTAAATATTAAGAAAAAATAAAATCCAATATTGATGGAATGGAAGATATATTTAATGCGCTACATCAAACAAGACTAGAATAAGATTTTACACGCCAAAATCGTAAAATGAGAAGTATTAAACGATTCCATATATCCACCCATTTGCAAATATGATGATGATGTAAGAAGAGAGCAAATAGGTATAAAATGCAAAGATTGAATCATCATCATTTGATATATATGAATTATATATTCCAAATGGAAGACAAAATACTTCTCGATGTACATACATTTATTATATATTTCTTCATCTCCATTATATTATGCAGTCAATGTTGATAATCACTTTTTTTAAAATCAACATATGCATCGTATGCATCAGGTTTAAACATATTAAATCATACTCATTCCACAAGAAAAAGCTAAAATTCTATTTTTAAAAAAGCATTTCAGAAAAATTGATTCGTTAATCTTTAGAGGATGAGGATTTTATTTTTAAAATCTGTTTCTTCAAATAATAGCGAATTCGGTTGGACGCATTCAGTATGCACTGGTGTATTGGTATACATAGATTGACGTAAAGATATCTATTTAATGTAAATATAAAAACGGATTAAATCGCGAAACTTTCAATACACTTTATTGTTTAAGAGAAGAATATATATTTTAGAGATATATAGAGAGATATATATTTTATAATTCAAGATATATTTGCATTTCATTGTTATATTCAAATTAAATCAGTGTGCAACGGCGTACTGACTTTAATATGCACATGGTGTGCCCAATCAAATTCGCTGAGATTTATTATAAAATCACTATTTCTTTTTTTATCTTAAAATATAACACCGTTTCTATTAAGATAGCTTTTCCGTCCTATAAAAGTTAACATACTGGCTATGTTTGCACTGAGACCTATACGCGGCTTGATCTAAAGTCAGGTCATCTCTCAAGTATTTACAGCAAGAGACCTAAGTAATTTAGGTCGAATTTGGGATATAGACCGTGGCCTAATTTCACGGTGTAAATGTAGCCATTAACTTAATTATGATTTGAAGGCATTTGTTCGTTTCATTCTATGTATACATATATTTTTTTCGACGCATATGTCATGTACAAATCTTTATAAACGTCGTTAATGAATTTTTCCTAATATTTCGTTTTTAAAATCGATTTGTATATACAAACTATATACATGTAAATATAATTTTACAATATGTACAGTAGATACATACAGTAGATAGATACATACGCGTTTGTATTACAAGTTAAGTACTTCTGGGAGGTAATGTTTGATTTATCATTTGAACTAAAGTATTCATATTTAATGTATCGTTTGTATCATGCGGCCAACTCCAAATAACTCGTTCCTTGAATGCTTGGGCGAAACTTGCTACAGCATCAGGTGGTCTATTGTTCAATTTGTTTCGAACTTCAAATTCCGATTGTCCGGTTGATACATTAAAAACGTAAAATTCATTAGCCTTTTGACTAAGATGACGTGCCCATGGTTTAACAATACTTCGTATGAATATCACGCTGTTAAATGCTGAATAAACGGGTTCTTGCACAGGTTCCTGCAAATTCATTTCACGATACTCTGTTGTATTAATTGTCATGTCGCGTTCCAATGGATTCTTCATGAGTTCGAAAGCGATATTCGAGGACAACTTTACGCGCTGATCTGTTATTCGTAATCTTCTATGTATATCTGGTGTCAGCAGGAATCTTTCTTTAGCACGAATGCAAGTGTAATCATTCGGAGCCGGCTTCCACAGCGCGTCGCAAAATTTCTTCGTAAGATTAGATCTGAAATATCAAATGTGACATCAAAATATTAGTAATACAATGATTAGTCATATTAATAAAATGTCATTCTGTTGAACTTGTATCCATGTATTTAAATTTAAATCAATGGTATTTATATTTTGAATACATATTTATATTTGAAAACATACTTGCTAAAACATTAAATTAAAATTAACATGTTAATTTTTTAATTTGATCTGTGTTCATTAATTTGCATATTTTTAATTTATGCATAAGAATATTCGAATAGCTATTACAAATATCAATATTTTACATTATTAACATTTTATAATTTTGTTGACAAAACAAAAGAAAAACTTACCGTTGGGATAAATACAGCTTGCTTACATCCTCTCCACCAAGCATGTACGCATCTATAATATGTAATGCTCGTGTCTTTGCAAAATATGTTCCCGTCCATTTTGATTCGTTTACTAGTTCAGCATATACAAGAGTATTGGACGGTAGTTCGATTTTTATTCCTTTATCTGCTGCAGTTCTCCACTTGCCTTTTACATACCGGTACACCTGTTTTCTTCCTAAGCTCAAGTAAAACGTCGCCAACTTATCTTCCTCGAGATACGGGCCCGAACAACATGGCATACAATACCAATCGTATGGCTGATTTAATATCGTATTCCGTACATTGTCGTTTTTTAATTTTGTCGCTTCACATTTGAGTAATCCAATGGAGTCACCTAATATTTCCTGCGCCTTGTCTTGCGGCTTTGATATTTGAGGCCTTACTCTAGTTCTGTCCGGCAAATCCCAATACTTGAGGCATTCTTTTCGCATCTCTGCTTGTTTAGGTTCAATCAATGTTGGATCTTCACAAAATGCAGCAATTTTTAACAGATTTATTATCTGTTTTTTTCCTAAAGTATCGTTAGAATTTCTCAGGTATCTTAAAAATTCCGCGTCTTCCTCTAATACATCAAGAGGTACTATTTCAATCACATCGTTGCTATCGTCTCTTCTCGAAAGCAAACAATTAATATGAGATAAATAATCCATCACTATTTGCGTATCCTTTTTCTTCCATTTACATATCAAATAACGTTCTGAATTGGCTGGTCTGGAAGTATTAGGCTTAAAAATCGAAATACTTTCAAAGCAATGGTACATCAGATAAACAAGCCCAACGCTAAATGGTGTAAATAGATCGAACAGTTTTGTAACAAAATGTCCACTTGGTCTCACTATCATCAATGCCACTAAGCATTGACATAAATATAATTGCTTCGATAAAATTTCCTGTATGTTTTCTTGACCTTCCACTGAAAA